GGGACCGGGGTTGAAGATGTGATGTCAGCACGGAGGGAGTCAGGCCTGATGACTCAGTGACAGGGGTTTGTCACCACCTCATCACCCCTACCTCCAAGTATGAGGGCCTCCGCCAACCAGAGCGGGGTCCCTCTCTGCTCTGTGTGGTCCACCTGAGCTGCGCCCTGTGGGGCAGCACCACCCTCCTGCAGATGAGAGAGCCTGCTGCAGCCCTGGCCTGGGTGTGTGCCCATCGCCCACCCGCCCCTTTGTGCCTTCTGACAAGTAAGAGCTATCTTTGATACAGCACCTATTGTGTGCAGGCCCCATACTAAGCTCCTTATGTGAATTAGCTCTTTCATCCTCACAAGGACCTTACCCGGCAGGTACTGTTATTCTCTCTGTTTTACAGAGGGGAAAACTGCGTTGAGGGGAGGTGCCTCGTTCAAGGTCAAGCAGGCTGGGAGAGGGCGGTGCTGGGGTCTGAACTCAGGTCTTTCTGACTCTAAGAACTGTGTTCTTGACACCGCACCATGCTCTCAGTTCTTGCTCAGTGACTCAGTCTCGGTTAGCAAGTTCATAGTCTTGCCCTCCTCGGGAAGCCTGTTTTCCCGGTTCTGACTCCAGAGCAGAAAGAAGGACCCTGTTTACCACCATCTTTCCAGTGCACCACCCCTTCTCAAGGTTAAATTTCTCCTGTGCACCGCTTTAGTCCTTTTGCTTCCTCACCTACAATGGAAGACACGTCCACGTGAATCTCCAGGCCTGTGTCTGCAGAATTGCAGAACTGCGTGTGTACAATTCTGATGTGAGGATTTCCACAAACTACGGGCTGGACCATGAGTAGATGTGTATGTCTGGAGGCCCGGGTGTGTATTATGAGGCACTGTATTGTCTTGGAAAGAACAGGGGCTTTGGTTCAATGGAAAGTGCCCAGCGCGTGGAAAATGTTCGGTAGCCGGGCATTATTTGCGTTTGCCTGTGTGGGCACCCGTGTGTCATGTTTATTTGATTGCCAGTCCTTCGTCCAAAGACTCGTGACAAAGACAGTGTGCTCTCTGTGGTCTTGCATAAGAGGCAACAGTGTGTAGAAAGGAACACCTCCCTACCCTGCAGTGCCCCAGTGCATGCTGGGAGGATGCTGTTGTTTGTGGCGACTGTGAGTTACCATGGTGATGGCTGCACTGGAGGAGACTGTTGCTCTCTTCTGAGCCTGAGGAGCACACACATCCTCCCTGGTTGCTCCATTTGCAGGGAAAGGCTTGGGGCAGCGGCCAGGAATATCCGTGTCAGCCTAGAACTGCCAGGAGCCCTACCTGGCCCCCCTCCAGCCCTGCTTCGTGCACACACACACACACACACGCATGCACACACACCCCAATCTGGCAGCTGGACCCTGTGCTGTAGGAGCTGAGACAGCAAGCACACTCAGGCACTCAGAAGAAGGCTGTGAGGTGTGTCCCAACCAGGGCATCCAAAGAAGGAGCGAGGTGTATTCTGCTGGCCAGCGGGGGCCTCGGGGAGAGCTGAGTCAGCTGGAGAGCCTCCTCATCTGCACGCAGGTGCCACCTAGGCTGGGAGTGTCCTGAGCTCATCCCACTCTGAGGAACGCAGGGGGAAGGAGCAGAACTACCAGGGCCCTCCATCTCTGCTGGTCTATGCTGTTTTGTCCCCAGGGCCCACCACCCCACACCCAAGCATTTGACAACGACACATGGAGGCAGTCTCCACAGCATCCTGACTTAGCCAGTAAAACAAATCCTTGAGCTTTCGGTTCTCATCACCACATGGTAGTGTGATACCTTCTCTGATCCCTTTACCCCATCTCTGCTCTGTCCCACGGGAGACAGTGAGGAAGGAGTGAAGATCAGGAGAGGGCAAGGGGGTGGGGTTAATTCTTTTGCAAATGCAACTTATTCATATTTTTGAGCTAAAAATGTAAAGATTTGCCTTGGGATCAGGATGTGCAAGTCAAATTGCCCCCCACCCCAGGCAGAGTGTCCGGAGCCCCTTCGTGTGCCGGTCAGTCCTCCCACCCTGGGGAGTGCTGCACCCCCAGGAATGTGTCCGTGCCCACAAGTGTGGAGCACAGCCAGACTCCTCAGGAGCCCCTGAGACCCACTCTGACCCACCAAACCCTTCCCGGCTGAGCCTTCCAGAGCAGGGTGGCATGCCTAAGATGACCACCAGGGGACACTGCTGGGTGTGCATGGAGGAAGCTTTCGAGTGTCGCCTCTGCAGGACCATCCAGGCCTCGGAGGGGAGAGCAGATCCTGGTCGCCCCAGCAAGTCAGCTCTGTCCCAAACTCCTCCTCCGCACGCCCCAGACCTACCCCAGCAGGAGGCTGCCTGGAGCCAGATGTTCTCCCATTATCATCTCTCTGCGACCTCCTGCTGGTCACCCCTCCCGGGACCTCAGCCCCTCTCTTCTTCCAAGGACTCTTGTGGCTCTAGTTTTTGGCAAGTCTAGGAGACTTTGGGGTGTCCCACCCCACTCCACTGACGTGGAAATGAGGTGGGGGCTAGTGTGGGTGCCTTTGAGGGAAGAGTTGTGGGGAAAGAGCACACTGTGATCAGCGCAATGAGAAGTAGCAAAGTGTCTCTTTCTGTCACCATTGGAACGTTGAGACCTAGGTTCCCACAGCCCCCTGTCTGCCCCAGAGCCTGGAGCATTAGGGCACAGCGACCCTCTGGAGGCTGGCCACAGGGTGAGTTAAATATTCTTCCCTTTAAAAAAAAAAGACATCTTCCTAATAGGACATGTATCCATCCATTCTTTTTTTAAGGTATTTTTGTATTTTTCTATGGTGGTAGCATCCATGCATTCCTGAAATGCTCAGTGAGCACCCACTGTGTGCCCTCACTGTGCTTGATGCTCGTGGTACAGGTGCCCTGGGACATCAGAAGAAATACGAGTTTCTTCTGGACTCACCTCTGCCCTGTGCTACAGGCCAGGAGGGTGACCTTGGGCATTGACTTCACCTCCTTGAGTCTGTTTTCTCATCTGTGACGTGGGGACAGTAGTGCATGTCTCCCATAAACATTGTAGGGATTCGCCTCGCTGATGCATGCAGAGGGCCAGGCCGGCACCTGCAGACGTCTCGGAGGAACCCTTCACCTTCCTCTTGGGGACGGCACAACCCTTGGAGAGCGTGCCTTTTCCCTCATCTGTGCCAGACCCATAGAAAGCATTGCCCTGGCCCAGAAACCCACATCTTGGCACCCTGTTCTTGGTCCCCATGTAGGCATTTTAGAACCAAACTGTAAAAACACATACATGCACTTTCTGATCCTGTCTGTATTCCATGCCAAGCCATCAGTCAGAGCCATGGGCGGCTCACAAGGTGGCACTTGCCAGGGTAAACAGGCATTGGCAACCACAGAAGTGACGCCAGGCTGGGGATGGAGCTCAGGCCCCTGGCACAGAGGTCTGCCATTTGTCCTTTCTCCTTGCCACCAGCATGGAGGCCTGGATACGTGGTGCTGACCACAAGAGAGCCCGTCACCTCCTCCGTCACCACCAGCAGCCCTCTACAGGCTCCCGGGGAGGGGAAGGAGAGGTGGCCTGGTCTGGGTGTGGAGTCCACTCTCAGAAAAGGTGCCTGAAGGCTCCCTGCTGGCCCTGCCAGCCTCCCTGGGCTGACAAGACAGTCAGGGCAGCGCCTGCCAGCCGGCCTGAGTGTAATCTTGGGGAACAAACGCCTCTTGAAGGGGTTCAGAAATGTTCCCTTTGGCGGCTAAAAGCACCTTCTGCTCCTGCTGAGTCTGCGGGTGGGGGAGGGAGCGAGTGGGCACTCTGGCCTTCGGGAGAGGGTCGCAGAGGGTCTGAGGATGGAGGGAAGGGACGTAACCAGAGGGCCCAGGATCTTGGGTTTTCTCATTGCTTTGCCACCTTCTTCTGTTGGTCCCTGACTGTCTCAGAGAGGGACTTTCTGGAAGGCTTTGGGGGTTTGACCCCATTCAGCGACTTTGGGGGCGGGGCCAGGTCCTCTTACTCTTGGTGTCCTCAGGACCTACCATGGTTCCTGGCATGAGTGTGTGTTTAATAGAGATTTCCTGGGTGGGTTGATGGAAGGAAGGAGAAGATCTTTGAGTTCATGCTCGGGTACCCTCAGTCTTCTGGGTGGTGTTCCACCCTGGAAAGGAGATGGGAGAAATGTGTTTGCTATTGTAGATTCTCCCCTGTCCAGGCTAATATCCCACCTGAAAACCAAGGCTGGATGAAATGACCCTGACTGTTCAGGATTCTGAGAGTGGGCCCACACCCACACATCCTCGTCACTCGTCTCACCTCCTGTCTGGGGTCTGAATTGCCCAGAGCTCAGTCTATGCTCCAGAAGATGACTTCTTGTCCTCCCCACCTCCCCACCAGCCCCTCACTTTAGGGGGCTCTTTCTGAACTATCTTCCCTGGACCCCAGGGAGCAATTCCGATGTTCCCTATCAGTGCCTGGGGCTCAGGGCGTGTGATATGCTCACACCATCTCCCTAGAGCCCGCTGTTAGCGTCTCTTCCTAACTCTGTGGTCAGTGACGTCATGTTGGTGCTTAAAAGCAGCCATGGTAGAAATACTGACACCGCAGAAATCGGCAAACACTACATGTGAGGGGGGGTCCCTGCCTCCAGGAGCCATGTTAAACATTTACCAGCACGTCACTGGAGAAGCAGTTTCAGGCGGATGCTCCGGCTGACCTCAATCACGGAAGCCTTGCCCAGGACCTCTGCTGTGAGAAGCAGGGCCTCCCAAAATGAAGGCAGGGGCAAAAGCAGTTACTCAGGGTGGGGGAGTCTGGGAGCAGTGCATAGACACAGGAGGCCCCATGTCTTCATCCATCTTCCAAGGCTGAGACCTCAGAGGCTCAAGGGCATGTGTCCAGGGCCTTTAGGTGGGCCTGCAAGCCAGTGACCAGCATGCCCCGGAGACCGGCCTCTCGGGATCTGGTGTCCCCACTTCCCCAACCCACCAGGCTCCCAGCAGTAAGTCCTATTTACTCACATGGCTCTTTCTTTTCTCCCTCCCAGACCCAGAGTCCCAGAGAAAGAGGACAGTGCAGAACGTCCTGGATCTTCGACAGAACCTGGAAGAGACCATGTCCAGCCTGCGAGGGTCCCAGGTGACACACAGGTAAGTGCGAGCTGCAGAGGGGTCCTGCCCGCTGCTGCCCTCTTCCCATCTCCCATTCTGGGGGGCAGGGTCCCAGGGTCTCCTGGGCACCTGGGCACCAGAGGTCAGCAGAGGGCCTGCTGCAGTTGCACAGACATTCGGAGCCCCACGGAGCCACCGCCACAGGGAGAGGAGCGACCAGCCATCTCAGCAAAGAGGCCTGGCTTCATCTGCTGTCTGCTTGAGCTCAAGCGTTTGATTTCATTTAAGTGAATAAGCTTGAAAACCACTGGAGTGCGGGCTGTGTGACTTCACTGCCCACGTTCCCTCTTGAGACGTAGTCTCCTCGTTTGTCACAGGGGTTATTCCATACTTCTCCTCCTGGTCTGAAGTTTCCCTTGATCCCGGACTCTAGGATCATGCCCTTCCCCTTCCGACACCCGGATCTTTTCACTCTGTCAGGCAAGTCCCTCCTGCCGCTTCAGCCAGTGGCGAAGGGAGGCTTGAGTGCACAGCAGGGCCCATGCAGTGTCACCTGGCTTCCATGCCATGTGGGCGCACCCCTCCGCCCACCCCTCCAGCTGTGCTGCATCCACCCCCCCCACCCCCACAGCACCCTGGAGTGCATCCTGGCCACAGCCTCTGCTGTGACTCAGAATTTCCCCCCGGCTCCCCAGATGAGCTCATGCTGTCAGCTCCAAGGGGGACAGGGGCTGGGCGACACTCGGGGGGTAGAGGGAGAGAGCAGACAGCCAGGATTGGGAAATCATGGGGGGCGTGGAGCAGGAAGGCAGCCTCTCCAGTTGGACTGGAGATGGGTTCCTCCCCATCTCCTGGGGTTGGAAAATGAGAGCAAAGTTGGGACATAGGGGCAATGGAGGGAGAAGGGGTTTTCTTAGCCCAGTGTGTGGCCGAGTGATATCCAGACTTAATTTATATACCTACAACGACAGAGAGCTCTTTACCTCTCAGTCATCTCGGTCCACTGTGGGACTGACATGACTGTGAAGTGAAACTAAATCAGGGTCGGTAGCTGTCACCCACTGGCTCTAGTTCTCCCAGGTGAGGCCGCCCTTCTCCTCCCTCCGCTGCCCTTCCTCCGGCCCATCCCGCCCTCCAGCTTGGACACTCAGCCCTGTGCTCCCAGGCATCTAAGATACTTTACGTGATAAATCAAAGCCCCTACTCTCTGGGGTTACCTCTGCTCAGGCCAGAGGACCCTGACTACTGAAAGGGATGTGACCAAGGAGGTCTGAGAGAAAAGTGAACAGTGAGGCTCCAGGAGGCCCTGGGACTCAGGCCCCTTACATGTCTCCAGCCTCCATCCCTCACAGCCCTGAGCAGGAACCCAAGTGGGACAGGTCTGGCTCTGCTTGGTTCACCGTTCTGGGGACCTAGTGAGTGAAATCTTGAATATCCTCCATCCCCCATCGGGGGAAGTTGTTGGAATAGGGCTCAGCACAAGTCACCACCAGCCCCAAGCCAAAGAAGGCAGAAAGTGCTGAGTTGCTGAGAAGGCCACACCCAGATGACTCAGCCACAGGGGAGGGCAGCAGCTCCAGCCTCCGGGTGCCACTGACTGTGAGCAGCCGGCCCCAGCCCCCAGGGTAGGCAGGACAGCTGGACCCCAGCAGGCCTGTTTGCCTTCTGCTTGGGGGCAGGGGGAAGAAGGAGGCTGAAAGCCTTTTGCATAAAGCTGGCTGGTTTTGGGGAGAGCCTCAGGCCTCTGGCTTCTGTCTCCCTTTACAGGAAAGGAACCAAGAGCCCTGAAGCTGGTTTTTCTGTTTACTGTGGACCCAGAGCCACTTCCTCTCTTAGCCTGTGGTTTATATTCTTCCTGTCCCGCACTTCAGACAGCCCAAACAGTGATTCCCTGAATTTTTATGGCTCTTTTACTTTTTAAAGTGTTTTCCATCAATCAGCCCTGGGAGTCGACAGGATATGTACAGATCCCTGTGTTAGAGAAGGAACAGGAGGCTGGGGAGAGGGTCTCTTGCCAGAGTCCCACAGAGTCACCCAGGCTGACTAGGGGGTAGGGGAGGCCTGTGTCCAGCAGACTTAGAACCTGTCCCGGCCACTGACCCTCAGAACAAACGTGGGCTCCATCTTTGAGGCTTATAGTCCAGTGTGTGCTTCCAGCAAGGTTATTTTCACCCTGGAACCGACAGGCTAATTCTAGATTCAATTCCTTTTTAGAAACTTTTATTCCTGTTCTGCTTCCTCTATTTCTACTGGCTTGTTTCCCCCACGAGGAGAGCGTCTGGGTCAGTGGGCCGGGGCTGGAGAGGAAATGAAACTCCCTCCCCTGCTCCAGGCCCACCACCGTCCCTACCCCAGTGTCCTCTGCAAAGAGAGGCAGGACCAGGGCTGGATGCAGGTCTGGGAGTCAGACACCACCCTGCTGAGCTAGAATCCTACCCTCCCCTACCCCACCGACTTAGAGATGTCCAGAGACGCATTTAGGGGATGAAAAACTGAAATAGAGCAGGAGGCACTTTGAGTGCAGAGAGCGGAACAGGAGGCGGGCCGGGAATGGGACTGAGGAACTGGGGTGCTTGGCACAGCCCACACTGCACTAATTTTGTTACCGTGGTGTAGACTAACTCAAAACCTAATCCTCTGGGAGCTCATCGTGGTCGTCGTCATCCTCTTCCCTCTCCTCTTCGTCTCGCTGTCATGGGCAGTCTGTTGTTAAGCACTCACTGTGCGAGGCCCTGAACTGAGTCTTATGGCGGGAACGTCCCTGCTCTTCAACTCAGCACGTTCATCTTGGGTTTCTCCTCTTTGCTTCATTCTTGAGCATCAACTGCATGCCAGGCCCTGTGCAGAGTGCTGAAGTGCAGTGGTGAGTGAGGCAGACAGAGTCAACAGGCCCACAGTCTGTCCTTCAGGGAAAATCCACTCTCTCTGGGGTCCCCAGTCCTTAGAAACAGAAATAGCACAGTGTGTGACGCAGTGCACACAGAACATAAAGGAGGGCCTGGAGGGGAGAAGCCGTGTGGAGACCAGGTCAGGAAGACCCCATGAGCATCAGAAAAAGCGGTCACTAACCGCCCTGCCCAGCCACATTCCCCACTCGCCCACAGCACTTCTTCAGGGACCGTCATGCCCAGCTTCAAGGGCTGTTTGGTTCGCTCTGGTTCCACTGATCAAAAATAAAAATAAAACCCTGTTTTCTCAGGGTTGGTAGAGACAATTTGGCAAGAGTTTCTTTCTTTTCAAGGAACTTTATAAAAACAAGAATAGAGGGCCGGCCCAGTGGTGTAGCGTAAGTTTGTGCACTCCGCTTCGGCATCCCAGGGTTCACACGTTCAGATCCTGGGCGCGGACCAACACACCGCTTATCGAGCCATGCTGTGGAGGCATCCCACATACAAAGTAGAGGAAGATGGGCATGGATGTTAGCCCAGGGCCAGTGTTCCTCGGCAAAAAGAGGAGGATTGGCAACAGATGTTAGCCCAGGGCTAATCTTCCTCACCAAAAAAACAAGAATAGAAAAATCAATGTCCAGCTCCCATCCTGACCCCCAGGGTGACTGAGAAATGGATGTGCTCACAGAAAGAAGACTCCTGCACTTTGTGTAACTCACATCCAGCCACAGATTGCCGAGGCTGTGCAGCTCTCGTGGCCGCCAGATCCTATTTCATTTACTTGACCCCGTCTGGTTTAGTTAGGCCAAGCTGCTGAGCCCTTAACTACAGCTGACTTGGGTGGGCATCACCACGAGGCTGGGTGGGATTATCCATTTCTCTCTGAAGCCAAATCCGAGCCGCCTCTCTAAGCAGATTCAACTGTACTTTCTCTGCAGCCACCTTGGCCCCCAAGGGAGGAAGGCACCTCCTCCCCAGCCCCTAGATGCCCCGAGGCTCCGGCCGTCCACTGCTAAGCTGGTCATCGCTTCCCTGGCCTGCCCAATGGGCCTGAGGCTTGAGGCCCTGGATGTCCTGCCCTCGCCCCTCGTCCATTGCCTGTGTTCTCTCCTCGGTCTAGTTCTGTCCTCTAGGGAGGTTCTGCTTCTTCCCCTGATGCCCTGGGCCTTTGGCTGGACTGGTCTAACTGGGAACCGGCCATACCTCCCAGGCTCTCAAGGCTTTTCTTACACGCTCAGAACCCCACTCCAGACTTTCCTATCTCCAGTTTGGGAATCGACCGGCCCTTAGCTCATTAGTTAAAAAGAGGTGATGGACACACTCTGAACAGAAGGAATGATCAAGGCCTTCTAAGCTCAGGGCACGAGTCTCCACGTCCCCAGGGGGCCTCACAGGCCCTCCCATCTATGAAGCAGCTTCTGGGGACCAGGCGCCATGTCAGGTCTTTACACATGTGATCCTTACAACTCCACGAAGCGCTGTCATGCTGTTATCCCATTTCACAGATGAGGAAACGGAGGCTTGGCAAGGCTGCTCCGTTTCTGCCTGCTCACTTACTAACGAATGGTAAAAAAGGATTCCAACCCAGGCCATATGGCAAACCTATGCCTTTAACAGTATGTTGGGGGCCAGCCCCATGGCTTAGCGGTTAAGTGCGCGCGCTCCTCTACTGGCCGCCTGGGTTCGGATCCCGGGCGCGCACCGACGCACCACTTCTCCAGCCATGCTGAGGCCGTGTCCCACATACAGCAACTAGAAGGATGTGCA